TGACTTATATTGGCTGGGTCATTTTTCACGGGTACTTGGCTCACTGTGGTTCGAGACACAGGATTCCGTATCGTCGTCTCAGCATTATAGGATACACGCAGACAAGCATTCGTTTACCAGGTCCCGCATAGCTACTGTAAAATGCTGTGTTACACAAGAAAAAAAAAGTTAAACAAGGGTAGAAAAAGCATCCTCTCGATGTTTGTTCTTATTTCTGACAAACGGTTAAACATCTAGCGCACAGGTGTCAGACTCCAGTCCTGGGGGGCCGCAGCCCTGCACATTTTTGGGTTTCCCCTCGTTTAACACACCAGATTCAACTTCTTGTGCTAATTACCACATAGATGTTGAGCTGAATCATTTGTGGTGGAACAGGGAAAGAACTAACAGGGCTTAGGCCCCCCAGGACTGGAGTTTGACACCCCTGATCTAGCACATAAACTATATATCACCTGGCCATTGCTATCTTGTCACAGCCGGTGGACCGTCCTTTACTATTCCTGCTTTTTCTTCTCTGTATTCTGTTTACTACGTACTTTTGTTTGTTTTCGCTGTTTTCTCTTCCTCATTCCGCTTTGGCGGCGTTCCCTTCCTCTGCCGGTTCCCATTTCCTGCTTTCAGTTTCTTGGGTCGTTTTGCGCCTCCTCTCCAGCCCCCTTCTTCTCCATTCATTGACAATCTGCACTTGAGTCCTTGTACCGCATATCCTTTTCCGGAAGCATCCAGTCAGCATTTCGAGTCCATTAGTCACTTCTTTCCCATAGCGTCTTGTCCCATGAAGTCACTGGGTTGTAGACATTGCAGTTAGATAGGATTGTCTGGTTTGATGTACTGTCCTTTCGCTTTCTCAGTTCCCTTAGAGGCATTTGAGCTAATATATGAGTTGCACAAAGTTTCCAGAGTCTGTAGTGACTAGTTGACTTGCATATGCATACATTCAAAAATGAACAAGTACCATATTATAAAGTATTGAAATCTTTGCCTATGTAATAATTATTGTGCGATATTTGAAAAAATATTTAACAATAATGTGACTAGATGATGATAGACTGAAAATAGGTAAAATGACTTGAGACCATCTATCCATGTGTCCGGCCGACTGATTCCAGAGGTTCTTTTCCTTGTGTGTCGCACAGGTACACAGAGAGCACACTCAGCCAGCCAATCACGCAGCTGAAGCACAGTGCAGATTGCGTAAAGCCGAATTAAATAAGGGCACTCTTATAATAAAAGGTGCTGATATATAGTCTTGCAGCATGCCCAGACTTCATGGAGAGGACTGGTCTGCCCTGCAAGGGCACTTCCCCACCACCCAATCAGGGGCCCGATGATCCTTGATATGCAAATGAGCCACCCTTTGATTACTTGCCGGCACAATGCAGTTGCCAAGGATGGGACACGATTGCTTGATCCCAATCGCTGTAATTTTCTTGAGATCCCAGTTTCATGCACAGTTGGGACTCTGCAAATCCAGCTATCGTGACGTGATATAGCCCATGGCGTTAATATATTTATTTTAATTATTGGGGACAATCGAGTTAAAAGCTAATGGAGAAAGTCATATCTGGACAGGTTAATGTCTCGTTCATTGAATTACTTTGTGCTGTGAATTAACAAAATGTAATAAATAGAGACAAGTAATAAAGAACCCAGTGGTTCTGATGTACTCCCTCCTTCTTTATTAAAATGCGTCCCACAAATTAGACATACATTGTGTTGAGGTTCAGGGACATTCCTTCAGGCCGTAAAATCAAATCCTCCCAGCAGATGAGGTGGCACACCTACCTACGCCTAATCCAATCATTACATCGGAAGAGGAAGAGCCGGACAATGTGCTCCTTCCTTAATCTCGTTTGAGTCTCTTTAAAGTTTCTCTCCCCTAGAGACTCATCAGTCATGGATGACATGATCTGCTGATTAGTGTGATCCCCACAACATCTGATGGGTGACTCTAAAATTGTTGTTAGAGATTAAAAAGTATTGACAAACGCTGACGATATGCTAATCGCTCAGCTACCCGATCCAGAATATTGCCTTTCTTCTCTGTTGCAGTCCTATAATTGAGTTGGAACTCTGTCCTTGTGGCCTATGATCAGTACTCTTCAGTTTCGTTTATTTGTAGACTTATTTATTTACTGGGAGGTGGGGGAACATTTCTTGGATGGGGGTTGTGTTTTTATTGCTTATTGGTGTACATTTCCCAATGACATGTAGTTTAATTAAGATAATTATCTCGATGGGCTCTAATACGCCCCCCATTCACGAGTCGCGCCGCGGGTCTTCCGGTCCATATCTCACATGCCCTATGTGATCCAGCGAGATCAATCACCCGACTCTTTGGCATATTTGTAAATTACCGTGGTAAATCGAAGCTCTGAAAGAGCGAGGAGAAGACAAAGAGATAGAGAAGGCAGCAACACAAAAGGACAATCTTGGAGAAGGGGGTGGGAGACTTGTCAGGCCCCCCCATAAAGAAGTGTGGTATATAGTGGAGCAAAACAGTGATGCTGCAGACCCATGGTGCAGCATGCATATGAGATGTGACAAGCATGAAAGTGCAACAATGAACACACACACACACAGGTTTGTAAGTATATCATTGTGGGGACTTTCCATCCATTTCTACGGGGAAAACTCTAATCACAACATGATGACCTGAACCCCTACCCAGCCCTAACCTTTATCATAAGTAACCAAACAAAATGCGAGACTTTTGGGGGAACATTTGATCCTAATTTTCACTAATTTTTTAACTTCTCTGCATTCTTAGTAGAGACATTTCACTTTAATAAAACTAATTTCTCCTGCTTAAATCTTTTTGCAGTGAAGTATCACCTTGCAGTTTTAAAGTTTTTGACTCAATATGTATTTGCATGAAGTTCTGGAAATTAAATGGTTATTGTTAGAGTTATGATTAACATCAGAATTAGATAAAAATAGATAAAAGTCTGATTTTGAAGGCCACTGTATTATTATTTTTTTTTTTTAAATACTTCTGGGACGACACTTGCGCCACAGGAATTATGGGAATTTTTTTTTTTTATCCATAGGAAAGTCACTTTCCCCTATTTGGAAAACAGCCAATCCAATTAATAACAAACACGAGACGACTAGGACAGCTCACAGGAAACTGGATTTGTTGACATGTTTGTGACATCTCTATTAAATGATCAACACAAGGTTGAGTCTCACCGTGACCAAGACGGCAGTGTTCACAGACCTCATCATTGGGTTTGCTGGTTCAGAAAGGACATAACCTACCAGGGCTGGTTGTTGACTTCAGGAATGGCTGTGGCTGGTCACCCTGCACACTCCATCAATAGCTCCACGGTGGAGATAGTCGTAAGCAGCAGGTTTTTTTGCAGTACCAATTACAGATGGGCTCTGCGGAAATACCACAGCATCCGAACCGGTTCCTCCAATCTGCACGTAGATTCCCAACCCCCCCCCCCCCCCCATAGGAGCTCGTCTCTCCCCCGGACATAATAACAAAAATGGTGCCCCTCGGACATGTTTCTGCACACCATGTTTACATATATCTAAAGAATTTTTAATATCTGTGTCTATAGATGTGCTGCTATGTTTTGATTTTATACTGAAATACCTATGACAGCCCTGTACCAATGCACACCATGTTTACATATTGTGCTGCACATTTACATTTATTTTTTATATATACTACATGTGTATTCTTATATCATATCTTTGGTGATCCACACATATGTGTGTGTGTGTGTGTGTGGTGTATGGCAGGATTATGCAAAGATGAAAGAAAGATGAAGGTCCACTCTCAGAGTTCCAAAGCTTCCTGTCCGACACACCTCCTGTTATGAATAAAGAAACCTTTTGCTCCCAGATCAAGGTACTGGTACCAGCTTGCCTCAGCATGATGTAATGGGGAGGAGAAGTGGTCCCAACGCTGCAAAATAATGCCCCCCCCCCCTGCCCTTCCCACGGGCCTCTGATCATTCTGAGATGGCTTGTTTGACAGCCTGCCAGTTCTAATGTCGCCAACATAATGTTCCGTGTCGACTCTGATAAACCGACGGATCTGTCTCCGCGCTTTCCCCTAAAAACTTTCATTACCAAAGTGATTAAAAATTATCTTTAATTTAGGAGACCTTGGACAAGATCCCTGGTTAAAATAGGAATTTCAGCAGAGTTTTTCGAAGGTAGTTAGAATCTTTTAATAGGAAACGAGTAGAAGCCCCGTTAGCTGTTAGCCTCCAGCCTGCGAATGCCACTTAACAGCTCTCCTGCAGTCTTACACTCACTCACCAGCAGATGAATTGAAATATTGTTATGACTTGGAACAATGTATACCCCGGGACAGGAGTTTTTATTACTGCTGCTGTTACTGTCACATTTCTGTGTGCTTATTAGTATCATATTTTATTTTTACCTTACCTGCACACACAGACAAAGGTGTTTTTTTTTATTAATGCGGAGCTGTTGGTAATAAACAGGTTCCTCATCGTAGTCAGCCTCGCAGAGCGTGAGGAGCAATAAACCTCGACGGCTACGACAAGCAGAAAATTTGAGCCAGTGATTCATGTTGGCAATGAGCGTAGCGTGCTTCTGCAAATGAAAGTGGGTTGATTTTTCTTTTTATACACAACACAACCTCTCGGTGAGAAAATAGCCTTGTAAACAGCCAACCTTATTTAATCTGACCCAGTTTGATGAACTAAAATAATAGCTGATTTAATTGAGGAATGGCACTAGGTAGTGGCAGGTCTACACAAACGCAATCTCTCAACCGTGAGTCGGGACAGTTATATGGGACACGTAAGACACCAAGGTGCTGAGGCAGGAACGAAAGAGAGAATAGAGGAAAAAAGAAGGGACAGGCCAAATGTCTGCTGCATTTTTTTTCTATATCCCATTCTGGATACAGTAATGACCATGTTCTCCTGTTGACCAATCCGGAGACCCCTTGTTAAGGTCACCTGCCACCCGGTTTTCCTGACAAATCAGATGACTTTGTTGGTTCGGCTGTATAACAGGAAAACAGCCCCCACACAAACTCGGACGCTGCATCACTAAAGACGTGAGACTTACGCCAGGTTTTTATTGACCCAGTGGCCAGGATGACTCAGCTGTAAACTCCTGCGGATGGTATGTGACTGTCCCCCTTTATTACAAACACTGGCCACCCCCAGTGCCTCCGGGTACATCATGACTTCCGATGATCAGCTGCTAAGAGCTGCTTTACTTTACTTACTTAACTGTAAGCAGACACACAGACCACTCCACTGGCTTGCCTACAGTGGGGGGGGGTCATCATTTCATTCACATTATGTTACAGCAAACATGCTTCCTGTGATTTTTCATTTATTCACTTAGATGAACCTCTCGTGGAGAATTCATTTATGTTATTCTTGTTGATAAGCTAAATAACACTGTTTTTTTGAGAACTGTTGCTGTTACAGACACACACACACACACACACACACACAGAAAATGGCAACAGGCAGGCTGGGATCAGATCCCCGCATCGCTGTCATGCAGCAGCGAGGCTGAGCTGATGTGAGGCTGGCTTCATCTGCATTGAGGTATCTTTACTTCAGGAAATGTAATGTGCTATCTGAGGGAGCTTTTTACAGGAAATAACCTTCGAAAGTGTGTCCCCGTGTCCTGCAGGATTCTATTACAAAATGCAGCCGCTGAAATTTAGAGATACTGTATGTTAACCTCATATGCTCAGATATGCTTGAACAGCAATTGTTTTATTATATACATACTGTATACACCTGTATATAGAATATATGATTGCTTTACTGAACTTTAGTTACTATCTATCTATCTATCTATCTATCTATCTATCTATCTATCTATCTATCTATCTATCTGTCTGTTCTGTGTATTCATTCATTTAGTTTATTTTATTTAATTCATTAATATATGTTGTGTAGCATTGGTGAGAAAGTACAGAGTTTTGTTGCACAGGTACAATAACCATATTCTATTCTATTCTATTCTATTCTATTGTTGTAATATATGTGCATTAAGCCATTTGTAGGTTGCTGCCTGTTTTGATCCCAGCATTATTTATGAACCAAGGCTGCTCTGGTAATGCCTATGAATTCCTGACTGCTTACGGTAGGGTTCCCCAGTTCCCATCCTGGAAGGCCAGAATCCTGCATAGTTTGTACATTTCCCTGTTCAAACCCCTCCTAACCAGCTAAATTCATGGTTTAGTAGGTGTGCCTAAGTAAGTAAACCACGCGTTACAGGATTGTCGCATGTGAAAATGCCATGGCATCACTTAAAGGCGGCGGGTAGCCGAAAGGCATGGAACGGGGGGGGGGCTATCGCTAATGCAGGGGCCACTGCCGAGCTGCTGATGCGGTGATGTCATTCACAGGTCCACCAATCAGCACTGAGCACTGTGTTATTTTTGGGCAGGGGAAATCGATAGGTTCTTTAAGAAAGCCCAGCATTGCATTATTAATTTGAAGCACACAGCTATAAATAAGGTGATTTTCCTTAATTAGTCAAGTTGCCCTATCCCTGCTATTGCTCCCCCTTAATATTCCCTCAAACTCACATCCATGGTAAGTGGAAAGTCCAGCCAGCAGGGACAACCTTGTCATTATGTGTGTGTTTCGGGGGGGGGGGGGGATTCGGATGCAAAATAGTGTTACTCGGAAAGTCTGGGCTTAATTAAAAGTGTTACAGGAGAGCCGGTAGGTGCCACACCGGGGTCATGGGGTCGTCCCGCAGCCCCCACAGGGACGGGTGGTTGATTAATGAAACCCAAAATGTGACGAGGTTTCAGCTACACCGTAGGGATGGGAGGGGGGAGTGATTTCGGGGGCCAGCGGACACAACCCCGAGGAGTCCTCCACAAATTAATGCTGCAGCGAAATTAGATGGACGGCTAAGGAGCTAAGGAGATGCTGAGGCCTTCTGGGTAGCGGGGAGAGGGCTGCAGGTGCGTTTGCCTTTGGCTCTCTGTATGCTTTCTTTCTTTTCCTTCTTCCTGCTAGCCAGGTCCATTCTGGGAAGAAAGACACAGAAACCTATTTTAAAGAATTAACAACATATGGAAATCTTTCCTCCATGCAGTAAATATGGTCTGTAATAATATTAATAATAATAATAATAATAACAATAATTATAATAATAATAATAATAATAATAATAATAATAACATGTAATTAACAATTACTAAATATCATCATTTCCTTTCACTCTGATGTCAATAGTTGGAAATTGAATTGACGTTTAAGATTTTTAATGACTAATTAGATAAAAATGCAAGGCAACGTGAAGAGAGGCTAGTTTCTGTTAGGCATTTGCAATCTCTTCTGAAAGAAGTCTGTTATTTTGACTTTGGTTTACTTGAATTATTTCCCAGTTGAGTAAACCAAAAGCATAGACGCTTATCTACTACCTATCTAAGAAGGCTGACATATCGGTTCTACACCAGCTAGCAGCCCTTCGGCAGAAGAAGAAACTAGCTACTAATCATTAGAGACACACACCAAATGGGAAAGTCCCATACAGGATCAGGCTGCGTGTTGAGTAGCTGCCTCTGGGAGGCAGTGTGTGGCTCAGTGGGGTTGGCCTCTTTGCTTGTGAAGAGAAGGTCACTGGTTTGAATCCCATCCTCTGCAAGAGAGTCAAATCTATTGGGTCCTTGAGCAAGGCCCTTAACGCTCCCCTCACCAAAAAACATGTTCCAGGGGTTGCAGATAAATAGCCTGACCCTATACTCAGATCCCAAACTTCGCTCTCAACCATATATGTTTGTGTCTCAAAGTTGACCAAGATAAGATATGGGAAACGAGGTTCTAATGTACCTGTATTTGTACAAATTGAGGGCCAGTCAATGCTATATGCGACATAGGCAGCCGCATCTAATGGGGCGCCAACTTCCCAGCTAATTTCAGTTTGTCTCACACCCCTGCAGTGATGCTCACCTAGGGTGCCACATTGGCTAGGACCATTGCCATTTCATCTTTCACTGAAGGTCAGTGACTTCAATGCATGCATATTATCTATATGCTCCAAGAGATCATGCAATAACCTGGACCAGCTCAGGTTACCATGTTTACAGCAACAGCCAAGACATGCAAAAAGTCATTCAAAAACAGGAGAACAAAAAGCAGAGATGGCATGATCTCAGTGGCAAGTAAGACCATTGGGATTTGTTTGATGAATCTACCACAGCCTTCCCTCAGCTCCCGTGCAGGTCACCCTCAGCGCCAGTGCCTTGACATGCATCCACTCGTTCTCAGTTTGCTGGTCCTCTATCTGTACTTTTATAGGAATGCAGACTTATCAACGAGGTGAGAGGAAGGGTGACTTTATCATGGATAACCTAACAAGAGCAAAATTGGAACAGGCTGCTTTTACTGGTGCACCAGTAAAAATAATGATGTAATAAAAAAAGTGAATAAAAAAGCTAAAAGTTCCATTATAGGGTAACTTCCAGTGACTCCCACATCCTCCATCATAGCTCCCCAAGGCTCACGGTACATGGTATCCCATTTTTATGTCCCATAGGTCTTCCCCTGCTTTGTGAAGGAAACAATGGTGGTGGAGGTCAGTCTCGCACAGCGCTTGGTGTTTGTTCCCCAAAGCTGCTGTCACAGTGGGACGCATGGAAGGAGTGATGATCCACAATTGGGCTTACAACAAACAAGAACTTTATTTTAGACTGAATTGAGACATGTATGAAAACAAAAGGGACCACGAGGGGTCAAAGCAAAGGCAGGTTGGTTAAACGAGGATAAACAAGGGCTGGAACTACAGCAAAGGGAACACAGGCAAGAGCATGCACTATGATCACAGAGAAACACAGGCAACACATACAATGACCAACTAATGGACAGAGTAAAGGCCGGTACATATATATACAGGTATCTAGGACTAAACAAGATACAAATGTGGGCCATTGACAATACACAAAACATTAGAACTAGGACTAGGACTAACAAGGAACAGGTGTGGGTCATTAACAGTCACAGAGAACTCACACACTAGGAATAGGATGGCCAGTGACACCTGCTGGCCAAGCAGGGAAACACCAGGACAGGGCAGGGACAGATCCTGGAGGGGGTTTACCATGCGACTCTTGTGTAGAAAGCTACCAGGGGCACTACAGCGATATCTGGGGAGATTTTAAACGCCTGATGCTTGTGGGCCCATTCTGCCCTTGCTCGTAGAAAGCCACATCATTCAGAGATATCCTTATGTGTAAAATGAAGGGGCCCATGCCCATAGCCACCCCAGGCAAGTAGATACGTGGCCACTCCTGCTGCCTCCCCACATCAATTAAATACACAATGAAATATGCGTTATTTTAATTTCTGAACGGAGCCATAAAATAGATACAGTGCAGTGCAGCTACCTCCAAAAATTTTACTGGCCTCTGATGGTCACCCCAATCAAAATTGTATGCCGATGCCCCTGGCAGCATTCAGAATAATGCTTCTATATGGAAGAGCAGTAATTAAGCAGTCTAGGGGAGTGTTTCTCAATCCAGTCTTCAGGGCCCCCCGCCAACTCCACATTTTTGCTCCCTCAAACCAATCAATCAAGAATGTCAAGTATCTGGTACAGTTATGTTGGGTAGGAGCAAAAATGTGGAGTGTTTGGGGGGCACTGAGTACTGGGTTGAGAAACACAGGTCCAGTGCATCACCATCACATGGTAAATAATGTGGGGACTGACGTCTCTAGAATATCAAGCTGAACTTCCCAAAAACACAAGGTGAAGTGTTTTCAAATTAAATGATGTATGAGCATGTGTACAGGTACACTGGAATGCTTCTTTTCATATATCCCATCGTGCTTTACTTTGCGACACACACACACACACACACACACACCCGCACATGTAGGGTATACATATCCTTGTGGGGACTGCTCATTCATTTCAATGGGAAAAATGCTAACGCTAACTATAACAACCTTAACCCCTACCCTGCCCTAACCATAACCATAAGTAACCTAACAAAATACAAGAGTTTTTGCATTTTTAGTTTTTTCATAGCAGTCACAGATTTTTATAAAATAGAGTTTTCCCTTATGGGGACAATAAACGGATATTTATCACGTTACGGGGACATTATGTCCCCATAAGGATACGTAAACCCGCTCGCACAT